AGGGGCGGTGCAGGCCAGGCAGGGGCTCCGGCCAAGGAGGGGTGCTTAGCTAGGTCTCTCGCTTCTGCCAGGGACAGCTGACTTTCAGCTTTCGCAAGTCAGCGACAATAGGCCAGCAGGAAAGCCAAATAGTCCTGTTCTTTCCCTGTGGAAGCCAAGTCAAAAAACAGAGCACAGGTGTTTGCCCCAGAAATGGCATTTCTGGGCATGAAGCCCAATGGAGAGGATCACAGATGTACAGAAATCACACTCAGACTCTCTGTCCAGAGGTATGGAAGGGGCAAGGCAGAAGTTAGACTACAGGAAGTTCTATCGACCAGGGGGTGATAGGAATTCTGCCTCCCCCCTCCTGCAGGAACAGGGTAGAGCAAAGTGGAGACCTGGCTCTAGGGGTCTCAGACAAGCATGAGCAAGGTTTTGCTCCTGCACTCTCCCACTGCCTGACACCACACTCAGCTCCCAGCTCTGCATGGAGGAAGACAGGCAGAGCTAGGTAGAAAGCAGGTCTTGGTTAGAGGGACTAGCGGAATCTCCCAGAGATGCTGGCTGAGGGTGAGCAGGTTGGGAAGCTTGTGTGTGTGTGTTTGTGTGTGTGTGTGTGCCTGTGTGTGTGTATGTGTGTGCGCGTGTGCGTGTGCACAGATCCAAAGACAAGACTGGAAGGGGGTGGGCTGGGATGAAGGCCTTTTCTAAATGGCCACACGGCGACAGCCAGAATCCATGCTTGCATGCTCTCCAGACTATAGCATGGAGGAACAGTTAGTAAAGTTGGGATCGGAGGCTCAGAGAACTCTGACTTCCCCTGGACCTCAGGACCAAGTGAAGGAGGGTGTCCCCTGGGAGAAGAGGGACAAGGAGATGGAGAGAAACTACTGTAAAGGGGTCTGAAACTGGAGTGGAAAAATGCCTGGCCTGGTCTCACCTTGTCCTGGCCTTTAGACTCTCCTCGGGACTTCAGGAGTAGCCCTCTTAAGCTAGGCACTGGCCTCTGGGCTCCTGTTGGGTACCTAGGCCAAGCTGTTCAGTCATTGGGATAAGACTGAGGGTCTGAGTTTGAGGGCTAGGTCTCTCCAGGACATTATCATCATCAGGCTGGGTAAGGACTGTATGAGGGTGACCTGCCCAAGGTCTCTCAGTGAATTAGCAGTGGCTGTCCCCTGAAAGGGGCCCTTCACAAGGGTGGCAGGTCCTGTGCAAATGACCATCACCGTGGCTCACATTCCTAAGTCTCCAAGAAGGGCTGTCTTGATTGTGCTTTCCTGGAAGGTAGCAGAAGGAGAAGGAAGAGCCTTAAGGACGCTGTCTCTCCTGGGTACTCAGTGTGGAGTACAGTGAAGGGGGCACAAGCTTCCCTCAGGAGATATGAGTAGGGACTGAGACTCATAAGCCCTGGCTAAGAGCCATCGTGTATGTGTGCATGCATGTGTGTTCATTTGTATGTGGACGTATGTAGCAGACCAGAAGTCTTTTTCCATTGCTCTTCTGGCCTTATTATTATCATTTTATTTTTGAGACAGTCTGTTTTTTTGTTTTGTTTTGTTTTTCAAGACAATGTCTCTCTGTGTAGACACCGCTGTCCCAGACTTGCTCTGTAGACCAGGCTGGCCTTGAATTCAGAGATCCACTTGCCTCTGCCTCCCCAGTGCTAGGACTAGAGGCGTGCGCCACCATCACCCAACTGGGACAGTCTTTCACTGGACATCGATGCACACACAGACTCAGCTAGACTGGCTAGCCAGCAAGCTCGAGGGACCCTCTTGTCTCTGCCTCCCTAGCTGGGATAACAGGTGCGCTCTGCGGTGACTGGCATTTATGTGGATGCTGGGAATCATAATGCAAATCCTCATGACTAAACCATTTTGTTTCCCTAGCCCCAAGGACCATCCCCTAAGGCTGGGACCCATGAGAGATGGCAGCCAGGATTCAGGCCCTGGACACAGAGCCAGACAAGTTGGGACCCTCTGCTCACGTGGGACCTCTGCTTCCCACAGGGCCAAGTCTTGTTGGTCAAGAAGCTGTCTTCTCACTGTCTGCTCCTGGGTCATGTGATCCAGCCCTTCTGACTTACCCTGAATGACTGACTGGCCAGCTTCTTCATCATCCCCTGACTGGTACACTTGCTCTTCAGGCTACTTTCTATTCAGCAACTGGAACATCTGACGATGACCGTTAGACCCTGATAGCCTTGAACTGGAAGTCACGTCAGAGCCTTCTTGTCCCCTTAAGAGGTCTCCCAGCCCTTGGGCCCCGAGTGCAAAGGAACTGCTCTGTTGCTTTGCCTGGGGAAGTGCCCATGGAGCACAGAAGCAGACAGTGTCCTTGGAGGTATGCCACAGAAGCCCCAGGGAGGGGGCTGACAGAGGCTCATGTGGCTCAGTCAAGAGACAATGAGGATAAAGGCCCCTGAGAGCTTTTAAATGCCGGGATTGAATGTCCAGGTCTGGGGAGTGCTGATGTCACCTAGGGCATAAAGGATGGGAGGAGGCTGCAGTCAGAGACAGGCTCTGTAGGACTTGCTTGGACCTGTTCGGTCTGGGAAATGAGGAGGCCTCGTGAGTGCATATGACTGTGTGTGTGTGTTTGTGTGTGTGTGTGTGTGTCTGGCTTCTCACAGGGCCCTAGGGAGAAAGGTTTCCAGACTGATGGAGGAAGCAGGGCATTGAGAAAAGATTGGCAGCAGGGTGAGGAGTGACTTGCTCTATGGTATCCCTCTGCCTCACTGTGGGGGTACCTAAAGAGGCTTCCCTGGGTCTGCTAGGTCTCTGATATCAGGCAGGACCAATCCCAGGCGGCTTCTGGGATAGGAGAGTGTTGTCTTGGTGGTACACAGGACGAGCATGGAGGAAAGTGTCAAGAGCCAGAAACTGGTGCTCTCCCTTACCCGCGTGTCCAGAGGTTCCTGTTATTGTGCTCCTTGGAGACGCCAGGCTCCTACATAACCTCTGTGGTGTCTGTCTGGTGTGGGTGCTGATGGCCCAGGCCCAGCCATACTGAGACACAGAATCCCAGCACCCAAGTTAACAGCAGCACGGAGAGGTCAGGTCCCACCACGACCTGCCACTACCCTGGACTCATCCCATTCAGGAGGAGTAAGAGTTTCTGATCTTGAGGGTGGCAGGTAGGTACTGGCCCCTATCCTAAAGACCATCTTTCCTATCCTAGGCTCAGAGCAGGGCCAACCTAGGGAAAAATGTTCAACTTTTATGTGGGCTTCTTGTCATACACACCCTCAAGATGACTAGTCCATAGCGCTTCAAGTTCTTCTTGGTGTCCAGCCTTAGTCACCCCTGCTGTTGCAATCTGATTCATTTATCAGAAGACAAGCTGAGGGCCCCATTATCCTGCCACCCAGCCTGACATCACAGAACTTTCCCTGGGGCATGTTCCCATTCCTGGGACTGCCCAGCCAACACAGGAAATGGCTGGTCTGTGAATGTGCCAATGAGTAAGTGGCTTGGATCCCTCTCCCATGAGAATGCTAAAAAGCAGCAAAGTGGAATTCTTTCGGTTCCTGGGGGAGAGTCTGGGAAGGCAGAAACAGGGACCTTGTGGGGCTACAAGAGGGTCATAAGGTGAGTGACAGGGTAGAACAGATGAGGAGACTGGCTGAGAGCCAGTGTTCATCCTAAGTTCAGGGGGATGGTGTCTGGGGGAACAGCCAAGGATGGGCTTGGAATGATCAGAACCCCATGGAAGGGACTTGGCTGTGACAAGGCAGAATGACAGCGTGAGAGTCCACAAGGTTGGAGTTTGGGGTCTAGAGCTGCCTGGCCTAGCCTAAGACTTCAGACCAGGGAACCAAGGGTCCAGTCACTCAGCCATTATTTGGACCACTGGCCCTGCTGGCCTTAGCATGAAGGCAGAATTTCTACACAATGAGGAACTGGGATCTGTGGGTCAAAGAGACACAGACCACCGGGTTTAAGGTTTCATGGCTGGGAAGTGACGGGGGTTGGTTGGCCCCCTTCGTGCACTCTTAAGCCCTCAGTCCTCAGCTTGAGGAGGCTGCTCAGGAAGTGACTGTCATTCCCACCCCCATAATGTCCCTGGGCACACTGGCACTGCCAGGCACTTACCCGGTCTGTTAAGGGCCCAGCCCCAAGCCAGGCGCCTGCGGGCTTCCCCAGCCCCAGGCAAGGGCACTGAGAGGGAACAAAGGCGCAGTCTCTGCCTTCTCAGACACCCACCCCTGCCTGCCCCTGGCACAGAAGGACCTGAGGAACTCTGATAGCAAAAGCAGCAAATGCCCCTTTGCCAGCACTGCGAGAACCCCACTTCTCTGTCCCTTAACCTGCAGGGATGTGAGGCCCTTTTCTCCTAAGTCCCAAGCACTGAATTCAGGCTGCCAGTCACAGCAGACAGCTGAGCCACCTAAGGCGGCAGAACCTGGCCTCTCTCTGTCATAGGCCAAGGGTGGCGATTGCTCTGGTGCTCTGTGATTTGGGGCAGTAATGAGATGGGGTCAGAGAAGAACCAGGACAACAGGATGAAGTCCTGCGAGAGGTGAAACTGCCCTCACCTGCGTCCACCCGACACAGGCCATCTCCACGAGGGATGTTGTCCACTGTGGTGTGGTCCTTACTCACCAGAGCCGTTTTCTTGCTCCCCGCCTGTTAGTGGGACCCCAATGGAGGCCTGAGCACACCACTTCCTACCACCCCCAGCATGCCCACACCCTCACCAGAAAACACATGCTCACCATGCCTAACAGCGTCTCAGGAAGCTTGGCTCTGTTTAGGTTTTTCCACACAGGGTCTCTTTGTAGCCCTGGTTGTCCTGAACTTGCTCTGTACACCAGGCTAGCCTCAAACAGAGATCTACTTGCCTCTGAGTGCTGGGGTTAAAGGCATGCACCGCCACTGCTTTTCACCCAGAAGCCCTAGCCGCTACCTCTTTTATCTGAGCACCCCCTGGAAGCAAGATGTGGCCCAGTCCTACAGACACAGGCAGCACTGTTCCCGTCTCACCTCCCCAGGCCCTTATTGAACACCAGGACCCCATTTAAAGAAAAAATAATATTTATTTGCAATATAAACAAAGTCCCGTCGTTGGCTCGGGATATGTGTGTGTGTGTATGTACGTACTTATGTATAGATAGATATATATATATATATGTAGGGTCACAAACTTTCCTTCATAAGATCTTAAAGCAAAACTGGCCACCTTCTTGCTATTTCCTCATTTACACTCTGATCCATCTTTCTGGACTTTCTTTTTAAAAATGAGAGAGAGAGAGAGAAAGACGGGGTGGGGCATACCATGTACAGCATTGAGTCTTTTGCCAATTTCTCAGCTGTGTCAAGATTTTGATCTGCTGCCCTAAAGAATCCCTGAAAACCACCCCTGTGAGGTAAGATGCGGTAGGGTGGAGCTTCTGCGTCCTCAGTCACTGCCCACTGTGGCACTGCTCCCATTAGGACCCCAGCAGTCTCCCTTTCCATTTCTCTTGGTGCCTGCTAAGAACCAAGGCTAGAGAAGCAATAAAACTGGAGGAACGTTATGGAACCTGTGGCTTTGTCCCATGGATACTGGGTGGCAGACAGCACCTCATACTCCCACTGGCCTGTCCCTGCCCCGCCTGCCCCAGCCCAACAGGTGGAAGTTGCCTGCAGGTCAAAGGCATAGGCAACGCAGGTCGGGGTGGGGGGTGTACCCCTGGACAAGGGGACTGGAAGTAGGAGGGGATGGAAGCCACACTTAAGATGAGGGGAAATGACTGGGAAGGCAGAGCTGTGTCCCACTTCATGCTTTACTCAGGCACTGTGGGGCCTCTACTCCCAGTTAAGAGAGAGATAACCACAGAGGTGGTGGGTAATCTGGAAAAGGGCCAGGGCCCAGCCCTCTTACAGGCTGAGCCCAGAGGGCTAATGCTACTGCGTTTGGCATTCCCCTGTAGCACCATCTCTAGCAGGACAGGGGAGAACCACCATGTTCCGCTTCGGAGAGGTCTGCAGGACTCTCAGAAGGTTGGCAGGAGGGCAGACAATGCAAGGACCCCAGCGTCCACCAAGCACAACTTATAGCAACTGGCCCATGCAAATGCGGCACTGGGCTGGGCCGGGCCACAGATAAAAGATGGTATAACCAGAGGTCCTGATGCCTGAAGAACAACCCAACCCCTGCTTCAAGAATGGCCTGCAGGGAAAGAGGAGGCTTCACACATGTGCAAAATGCATTTGGTCAAGAACATGCGGTTTGTCTTTTCCATTGAAAACAAAAGAAAATACAACAATGGTTGCTTTTTGAAAGAAGAATTGAAATTGAGAACACATCTTTCTCTCTCTCTCTCCCTCTTGCAGATTAAGAAATGGGTGAAATATTGGTTTATACAATCCACTGTTGCATTTAGCCTGAAAAAGAACACTTTTCGTTAAAAAAAAGAAAAGAAAAATCAAGAAGAGCTTTAACACTCTCTGCTCCAGGGAGCTTGGATTTACCTGCCAAAAGTAGTAAACTCAGGTCTGTGGATATGTCTTTAAAAATAGCCAGAATGGCTGGCCATCAGCAGAATGGATGTCCTAGGGCAGAGACGAGGCCCCGCTGGATCCCAAGCCACCAGTCTGAAAGCCGAGGGCAATGCTCACTTCAGCAACACATGTCTGGAAAGCTGAAGCCACTCCGGCAAGTGCTGCCTCAAGCGGCCTTGCTGTGGGCCCTGCCCAGGATGGCATGGGAGCTTAGCCACTGCTCAGCCTGGTTCTCTGGACACAGGTGACATCTGTGGGTTCTTCAGGCCCAGGAGGCAGCAGGTGAGGGGTCCCCACCAGACCCTGTGGAGGGCTGGGAGACCCTGGTGCTGCGCCCGCTAGTGTGTCAGGCCTCACGTGGACTCGAGTGTGTTGATCGGGAACAGGTTATGGTTGGTGGGTGTGGAGAAGTAGAGCTGTTCACTGGGCGTATGGTTGTCGCATGGGCTGCTGAGCCCCAGCGTCCGCTCAAAGTCCAGCAGCTGCCCCATGAAGTTGAAGTTGGGCGAGATGTTAGATTTTTTCCTCTTAACGAAGTCATAGGCGTCGTTGAGGGACAGGTTCATCTTTTGCATCAGGTAGGCTACAGTAACTGTCACTGAACGGCTGATGCCTGCTAGGCAGTGCACCAAGACCCCACACTTCTTGGAGCGGGCTTCATCTGAAACACAGGGACACAGGTTAGTGTACCGTCATCTCCAAGGAACCTCCAGGGAACAGGTGGGCAGATGGGACACAGCAGAAGGCCTGAGGCCAAGCTGGGCACGGTGGCGCATGCCTGTAATCCCAGCAGTCAGGGAGGCAGAGGCAGGAGGATCTCTGTGAGTCCGAAGCCAGCCTGATCTACAAATCCAGCCCAGGACAGCCGAGGCTACGTAGAGAAACCCTGTCTTGGAATCCTAACACCCCCCCTTAAAAACAGAAGGCTGGAGGCACAGAGGACAGCCCAGTGGCTGGATCTGGCTGTGCACAGACACATGCCTGAAGGGCCTAATAAAGCCCAGCACAGATCGGGTGGATGAAGGGTAACACCATGCTAAAACCGAACTTCTGACTACCAGGGTGCTTCGGGGACCTCCTCTATGCAGCCTGACTTTAGAGAGGCAGTTTCTCTGCGTAGCCCTGGCTGTCCTGGAACTCACTCTGTAGACCAGGCTGCCCTCAGAGACCTGCCTGCCTCTGCCTCCCAGAGTGCTGATCACAGGTGTCCACTACCCCCCTCTGGCTATTCTCGGTATTTCTGTAGGGATCTGAGCCAAGGAAGAAAGGGTTCACCAGGCACAAATTACTGTCACCACTGGGATCACTACTACTCCGCCATGGCCACAGGCGGTATGGAGGGTGTTACCCGAATCCTCTTGATGGCACCACACAGCCAGAAAGCCCACTGTGTCAATGTGAAAACGGATGCAGAAACAAAGGGACAAATGCACACAGATGGTCCTGCTACTCAGCGCCTGTCCCCATGGGGGACTCTCTGCACATCCTGGGATGTGGGCTTGGGGCAGGCACCTGTGAAAAGCAGTGGGCATCCAGGCCCGGCCCAGCCCGGCCTGGCCATGAACTCTACTCTCTCAGTGCCCTAGGTCTTAACAGCAGCTCCTGAACACCCAAGGATAAGAATGACATTTCCTGCCACAACCAGTCCCCTTTTCTTCCTGCATCCTTCCACCCTCCTCCAGGACCACCAAAAGGCACCTCTGCCTAAGACACAGTATGCACTCTATTGATGGAGCCACTGAACATTGTCCCTGGGACCTTCTGGCCTAGACCTCACAGCAGCAGCTTCTTTCTGTATCACAGCTGCTATGGACATGAGCTAACAGGAGACAGTCCAGGGTCCTTAGGACCCCTGCGCCTCCAAGCCTCCTGGGAGCCAGGCACACAGTAGGTAGTTGATGCTCTAAGACACATGGTTTATTCTTTACTGTCTCTGGCCTGGCCATGCTTCTCATCACCCCTGTTCATCTGAGGGATGAACCTAAACAGTAGAACTGACAGGCTGGCCCAATGGCTCTGGGACCAGGGGCAGGGTCAGCAGGAGAGGTGACAGACGTGGCTCTGTAAGGAATCAAGTGGTCTGACTTTGAAATTTCGTTAAGAGGTGAAGGGAAAGGCCCCCAAGGGGACACGGTAAGCTCACTCCCAGATGACCCACATGGAAACCTTTCCTTAGAGCTTTCGGACTGAGGCTCAATCCTGTCTCACTGAATCCTAATGGGAGGCTGGGGCCTCAATTCCTTCACTTGCCCTTTACTGGAACCTTCCCTTTCACCCCTGCACCCGGTTGTTTCCTTGTTTCTCTCCAGAAATGGAGGAGAGCTTTCAAAAATAAAACCATCCACAAACCAGGGCTTGGTACTGAGCAGCCTGGGGTCCCTCTCTCTGTACCCTTTCTTTATGTGGGAGCCCAAATGCTGAGGCAGCACCCCCAGAGCTGGCTCTGTCTCCTGGGGCAGGGCTGGAAGCGCTGGGCAAACCCTCCCCCAGACCTCAGCTTCCTTCCTTCCTCCCAGCCCAGGCACCTAGTTTTGGTTCCCAGTAAGCGGATGAGGCGGGGAAGCCTCCCACTTCCTGTTGTTAAAGTTAGCCCAGCCCAGCTGACACCAAACGCCCTCAGCTGGACACAGTGGCCATCAATCTGGAGAACACTGCCCAGGTCCTCCCTCACCCTGACCGGGGAGCCTGGGGAGAAACAGAAGCACCAGGCTCAGAGAGCACAGGGTTTTATGTTTATCCTGAGCCTGTGTCCTTTCCTGGCCGCCTGGATAAGACTCCAGGCCAGAAGAGATGACCTCCAGGCCAGCTGGCCAAGGAGGAAGCAGGAGGGGTTGCCTGAGTCAGCTGAGGTCGGGGACAGAGGCCTTCCTCAAGCTGCCTCTACCTTTCTATGTAGGCAGCATCTGGATCCCACAGAGGCACTTAGGGGCATCCCATGTCCAAAGCTGACAGTTTGGGGTCAGTCTGGCTCCGGGGTCTACCTTCTAGCTTTTTCAGATCCACAACATAGCCCGAAGAGGCATCGTGACAGCCCCATCCTGGAGAAACACATGTGCCGAGGCGTGATGCGGAGCAAGCGAGACCCGTGGGAGTCTGTGAGCTGTGATGTTCCAGCTTGCTGTGCTCCAAAACTACAGCAAAGCCAGAAAACACAGGCCGGACCACAGAGAGCTCAAGAGGTACTGAGAGCCGGGGGAGTCCGGGATTGATTCAGGGGCCTGCTCAGGTCCTAACAGGTAGAGGGGCCCGAGGGACTCCGTGACTCACGGCAAGCATGGTACACCCACGGGCGCACGCCAGCACATGCAGAGCACACACAGGTCTCGACAGGCCCGGAGGTACCCAGTTGGGCAGGGGCGACACCCGTCGTCCCTCACACGCCTCGCCTTACCTACCCCCCCACTCTGCCCAGACCAAGACACCTACCAATGAAGCTGATGGCCTCGGGGAAGAACTGAGAGAGGTTCTGGCTCCAATGGTCAGAGATGGGAATCTGCTTGTAGGTGAACTCACCACCGTGCTCAAAGGCATTGGGCAGGTTGGGTGTGACATTGAGGATATATTTGATGCCGTACTTGCCAAGTACATCCAGGTTGGTAGAGTCCTTGGCACAGCCGAGGTAGAGGTAGGGCAGGATCTGGACTGGAAAGGCTGGCTGGCTGGATGGCACAGGGCTGCCATCCGACTCAGTGGCACTGCTGGGCAGCTCTCTGTCTGACTCCCCATCTGAGCAGTCAGAGCTGATACGCAGGCCCCCCAGGCCCAGCACGGAGGTCGGTGGCGAGCCGCTCGGGGAGGACGAGGTGTCCACGTTAGTCTCACAATGCTCTGAATATTCCGTCTGGAACTTGTTGAAACCACCTGTGGCCAGGGCAAGATGGGGGTTCTGATGAGTCCAAAAGGGCCACAAAAGACTATTAATAGTCAGGGCTCCCCATGACAAAGGCCACAACACGTCCATGTCAAACACGTTACACGTGGACCCACTCCTGCTCCTGCCATTCAATTACCACCTCACAAATAAGGAGACTGAGGCCTAAACCTTGAGCCCTTTCCCGGAACTCCTAAGGGACACTGGCCATTTCCACTTGGTAGAGAGCACCTGAGGACGGGTCCCGGCTCATTTCTCTTCTGTAACTACCACATATACTTAACACACCTGGGTGCTCAGTAGTGGCTGATGGGCAGAAGGCCAACAATCCCATCTCAGGCCAACACCTGTAGGTCAGCAAACCCCTATTCCAAGGGAGGGGGGCCAGAACGCACATGGGCCAGTAAGAGGCAGAGAGCCCAGGCGCCCACACTTAGGGTGGTGTGAAGACACCGGTGGTCCTTTCCCCCAGCAAGAAGGGGACATGGGTACTAGCGGTCCACTTTTCTCTGGAACCCTTCCTTTCAGCACAAGCAACGACCCCCACCCCCGCGCGCACAGCGTGTGACCTAAAGAGAGGGGCCACGGGGGCTACACGAGGACAGGGGACACAAGAAGCACCATGTAGCTAGGCATGGCCCTGCGGCACCCGAGGGTGCCGCAGGACTCCCCTCCCCTCCCCGCCTGCCTGTCTGCTGCCAGCAAGAGGCCATTTTGGAATGTTAATTGGAAACACCGGCTGCAGCCACTAGCCAGCCCCCCTGCCTGCCTGCCTGCCTGCCTCCCCTTCAATAAACTTAGGGACAGCGGACTGAAGACCATCCCCACCCCCACCACACACACACCTAGGCCACATCCTGCCCAAGTGCTTCCAAGAAGCCGCAATCTTGGTCGGTAGGGGCCATACTGGGATCCCAGAGAAACCAACATAAGCGGGCCCCCCCCAAGCACAGGAGGGTGGGTGAAAGGTACCTTCCCGACCCTAGAATTCTAATGACACAAATTCCAGGCTAAGCCTATGGGCTCTGCTCCTTCCTGGGTTCCAGCAGCGCTCTCTCCCCTCCTCCTCGGAGCTCAGCTGGAGCCTGTGCGCTGTTGTCTCCCATCAACGGGGGAAAAAATAAATAAATAGGAACGGAAAAGTTTGTTTCAGACACCGAAACGTGCCGAGAAAGAGGACAGAGATTGGGTCCCTTGTGCCTGGCTAAACCCACACCTTGGGGGACGGCTCCCAGAAGGGCGGATTCGGGCCAGGGGCGACGTGGCGCCCGGCCTGGCCAAGCGAGCGGAAAGGAAACCGCCTTCAACGAGGGCGCCAGGGAGCAGCGGCGCAGCCCCTATGCCGTCTGGGGTCTTGGTTCTGCCCTCACCTTGGAGGTAGTAGGCCTGGCAGCCATCGTCTCGCAGCTTCTGCAGGAGCAGGCCGAGAACAGAGGCGGGAGCGCCGGGCTCGGGCTGCCACTCAGCCGTGGCCTCGTCGTAGAGCAGCACGGTGGCCGCCTTGCAGCGCGTGGCGAAGCGCTCCTTGTCGGCATGGTTGGGAATGATGGAGCGGATGGGCAGGTTGCCTTTGCGCAGGCGGCGCAGCATGAGACCCGGGATGGCCAGGTTGATGGCCGTCTCGATGTGCGACGACTCGAAGAGCTCGTGCGGCCGGCAATCCAGCAGCAGCAGGGACGCGCCACCGCGCGCCTCCAGCTCCTCCTGCAGCCACTCGGCGCTCTTGCAGGGCATGGCCCCCGTTCCCGTCGTGGCTCCCGCTCCGATGCCAGCGCCGGACCCAGATCCCGCACCGGGCTCCGATCCCGCCCGGGTGCCCCCAGCCGCCGCCGCCGCCGCCCCCGAAGCCGACATGTGCGCCCGCACTGGGGGCCCGCGGAGCTGGTTTTTCATGGGGAGCCCGGGGCTGGGGCCGGGGCCGGGGCCGGGCAAGCCAGCCCTGGGACGGCGCCCCCCCGGCCGCGCTGGCCCCAGCCGCGTCTCCGGGCGCCCGCCTCCCGCCGAGCCGCGCGCCCGCCGCCCCG